CATGTGACCATGACGTCATCAACGTTGTTTCATGGTTTACTCCGGTTTAAAATAAATTTAGAATTAAATTATAAGAAATGACTGTAATATTTTTTCTGTCTATTCGAAATAACATAAAAAATGTGGTGCACACTTTAAAATAACCCGCTACGCAGGTTATTCAGTGTGCACCACATTTTTTATGTTTTTGCTTCATAGACAGAAAAAATATTACAGTCATTCCTTAATTAGATTGAGGATATTTTTCGAATTCAAGGGGCCAAAAAGGAGGCATTATTATAAAAATAATAAGATGTGGTATGATTGACAATGAGACAACTCTCCACCAGAGACAAAATGGCGAAGGTAACAACTATACTTTCTTCCTGTATTTGAAAACCACTTTCAAGCTAATGTAATTATTTTTAACAATGCATGCATTCAAATAAATACATATTAACAATATATATAAAGAATTTACACAAAAGACATACTTATTTTTTTTGCTTGTTTGCTTAGGTCAGACATGCTTTTTAGAAAATCATATACTTGGTTTTTTTTAACCAATAATTGATCAACCGTCATACTTATTATTAGGTTAAAAATGGCGATGTTTACAGTTACCTGTTTTTAAAGGCATTTTTAACTTTTTCGAGTAAGTAAACCTTGATATCTGAATTATATGTTGTAAAGCAGTTTTACTATTTTTTACCAATCTTAAGAACGTTAATACCACTTGCTGTATTATATTGGCATTAGTGAAAAATATGAATTATAGCATAGTCATTATATGACAGTTCTGTATTGAACTTCCTTGTATACAATTTTAAGCGTACTTTCTTCATTTCGGTATACACAAATGAGACAGCTACCCAACAAAGACACTAATTAAAATCATATAGAGAGTCAACTCATAATAGATAGGGTCTATACAAAATGCCAAGCTCTATATATCTCACCAATTCTCTAAATATTGTGAATACATTAAACAGAAACATATTCCAGAAAGTAGAGAGCCCTGGCTGCTTTATACCTTGCGCGTCTGGCGTACAAAATTTTATCCTGATATATATGATGAGTTTATTTACAACCACTGGGTCGATGCCACTACGTCCTAATTATAGATTAACTGTTTACCAAACTTTCAATTTTTCGAAATTCTAAGGATTTTCTACCCCAGAAATAAATAACTAAGCTGTATTTGACAAAACCTTTCGGAATTTTGGGTCATCAATGCTCTTCAACTTGTACTTTATTTTGCCTTTATAACTATTCGAGCGTCACTGATGAATCTTTAGTAGACAAAACGCGCGTCTGACGTACAAAATCTTATCCTGGTTTCTACGATGAGTTTATTGAATACTGATGCCTTATGTTACGAACTTTCCGTCTGTCATATGGCCATTGTCCTTGACCTCATTTTCATGGTTCAGCGACTGCTTTAAAAACTACATACTTTCTAAACATGTGTAAGTTTAAAATTTACCAGTTTGAAAAAAGATATAAATACTCTAGATGCTGGCCAGTAACAATCGCCTATCAATCACAGAATCATCTTAAAATAGCAGTTAATTTTGTCATATGAATAAAATTTTACTGCACAAATTATACAGCTTGCTGTCCCATTAAGTAAAAATCCTTTGAGCACTGATAGGGTGGACTTCATACCTGCTTTAGAACGATGTATAGAAGAAGATGTTTTATTTCAATTAAATGGGCTCACAGGGAGCATAGTACAATATAAGACATTAATAAGACAATAACAAAATGAAACAACAATAGTCTAGTATACATACAAAGAAAAGAAAAGGCAGTTTGAACATCATGAACTACACACATATATAAATATACGTTCAACAGTGTTTCCCTCCTTCTCAGGTACACCCCAATATGAAAAAGTTCCTAAAATAATAATAAATGTATTGGATATTTAACTTAACTGCAAAAGCCACTAAGGGACGGTGCTGCATAGCAAGGTGAGAGATAGACTCACATGGTATAAATGAATGTAAAATAGATAATTTGGTTATGATATTATGAGCAGATGCACAAACCTGGTATGTCATCCTCGTGCCTGATGCAGAAGGGGTTGATACATATTGTAAGATGACCCGACTGCAAGAGGCACCAAGGGACGATGCTAAATGACATGCCCAAGTTTTCCTAGTACGAAATAGAAAAATACTTATATATAATGTATATATGAATAATTCTGATTGTCAATGATAAAATAAATAAGGTACATTATTATTATTAAAGGTGAGTCTAGGTAACCACCATGCCATCCTCGTGCCTGATGCAGATAAGCTAGATCTATATTTTGCCTTCATCAATCAAATCACAAGCAGATATTACTATATCAACGTTTTCTACATTAAGTAGCCAGATTAGTATAAACATTTATGGTATTGAATAATTCTGATTGTTTGACTATGCTTATTAAATGATGATGTGTATTTGTGTTTTTTTGTTTGCGATAGGCCACTGAGATCCTGGGGGTTATAATGTGCATTTGTTAGTAAACATATCAAATTTGAATTAATTTGAGTTTGGGATATTTGTTCCGGATTATAGACACATATAACACCACTGACAAGAGTTCTGATTATTTGTCTTACAGGCGATCTATTCAAAGATGGATATCAACAATATCCCACTGGAGCTGCTCCTAAAGATTTTGTCATACATCACTCCATACTTACTGTTTGAAATGGATAAAACGGGAAAAAGCTGACAAAAAATCTTTGGACTCTTTTTTTAAATCAGTAATGAACATAGTTGATATACGTATTCAACATTTTAAAGAACATTTTACTCTTAACAATAACCACAATAAACCTATTTCTCGTATCAAACATAAACTAAAAGAACTAGCCAAGGAATTTGTTTTTGTCCCGGCCGATAAAGCTGCTAATAATATTATTATTGTTTGACGTAAATTTTACATTGAGGTTCTGAAAAAAGAAATCACCAATTCACCAACATTCCAACTGACTCCATTTTCAGAAAACGACATCTGTAACAAACATAAACTTTTAGCTACCGCTTTACAAGCAGAACCAAATACAATGAAAGTCCCAACTATGTATTGGCTTCCGAAGCTACACAAAACACCTTACAAATATAGATTCATTTCGTCTTCAAGCCATTGTTCCACTACTAAATTGTCTATTCTTCTTACCAGTACACTTGGTACAATCAAAAACCTGATAATAAATTGTTCAAATAAGGCCTTCGAAAATAGTGGAATTAATTACTTTTGGAGTGTCAAGAACTCGTTGGAAGTACTTGATAAATTGCATGCATATATTGGTGATTTTGAATCTGTTCAAAGTTTTGATTTTTCTACCCTATATACCACATTGCCTCACATTCTCATTAAGAAAAAATTCACACACCTAATTAAATGGGCATTTAAAAAGTCAGAATGTGAATATATATGTTCAAACTCTTTTAGGTCATTTTTTAGTAGCAATAAACAAAAAAACTATGTCAATTGGACATGCTTTGATACTATATATGCCCTTGAATTTTTACTAGATAACATTTTTGTTCGCTTTGGAGATTCCGTATATCGTCAGGTTATCGGAATTCCAATGGGGACTAACTGTGCACCACTTATTGCGGACCTTTTTTTGTATTGCTATGAGTTACAATTTATGACAAAAATCAGTAAAGACCCATCGAAACAACATCTGATACACAAATTTAATAATACTTTTAGATATTTGGATGATATTTTGGCTCTCAATAATGACGACTTCAGTATGTATACTAAAGAAATTTATCCTGTTGAACTTACTTTAAATAAAGCTAATACTAACAATGACCACTGCCCTTTCCTCGATCTTGATATCTATATCATTAACGGAAAGCTTAATACTAAAATATATGATAAAAGAGATGATTTTTCATTTCCTATCGTTAATTATCCATTTTTAGATGGTGACGTTCCCTTGTCACCATCTTACGGTGTTTATATATCTCAACTTGTACGATTCGCTCGTGTATGTAACAATGTTTTAGATTTTAACGAGAGAAATGTATGTATTACTGAAAAATTATTACACCAGGGTTTTCGATATCACAAACTAGTCAAAACATTTACTAAATTTTATCATCGGTATAAGGACATCATTCGTAAATATAGCTCAACATGCAGACTTCTTATACGTTCAGGTATTTCACATCCAATTTTTTATGGAAATATTCTTTATAAAGCACAAAAATGTCAGTATTCACCTCTGAAACTAACAAAACCTTTAAATAGACTTATTAAGAAGGGATATAGTTACGATACTGTTGTCAGGTCATTAAAGATTGCATATTTTGGCGTTGATATTGATTCACTTATAGGGTCTTTGCATCTGCACTAAACACATTTATTTAAAAACCAGTTGTTGGCATGACACGGGTTATGTTCTTCTCATATATGTTATGATGGTATGATACTAAACCCCTAACGGGAAGGATTGTGCCTGATATTCATATGATGAAGACATAATCTTTCAATCAGTTTAATTGAAGTCTGGAGCTGGCATGTCAGTTAACTGCTAGTAGTCTGTTGTTATTTATGTATTATTGTCATTTTGTTTATTTTCTTTGGTTACATCTTCTGACATCGGACTCGGACTTCTCTTGAACTGAATTTTAATGTGCGTATTGTTATGCGTTTACTTTTCTACATTGGCTAGAGGTATAGGGGGAGGGTTGAGATCTCATAAACATGTTTAACCCCGCCGCATTTTTGCGCCTGTCCCAAGTCAGGAGCCTCTAGCCTTTGTTAGTCTTGTATTATTTTTAATTTTAGTTTCTTGTGTACAATTTGGAGTTTAGTATGGCGTTCATTATCACTGAACTAGTATATATATTTGTTTAGGGGCCAGCTGAAGGACGCCTCCGGGTGCGGGAATTTCTCGCTGCATTGAAGACCTGTTGGTGGCCTTCTGCTGTTGTCTGTTCTGTGGTCGGGTTGTTGTCTCTTTGACACATTCCCCATTTCCATTCTCAATTTTATCCCACAGAATGAACTGTACCATACAATAAGTCAGGTTTGTCGACACTGGGAGAAATTGTCCATTTTACCAGATTTCTGGAGGACATTTAGCTATGATGATTTATGTCAACTTCCTCAGTCGTTGGTTCAGCGATATTCTACAATGGAAAATCGTGTGGCACATATCAGAAATATACAAACATATGTACAGGAATTAAGTATTACTAGAATGGGAATAAGCGATATCCAAACAATTGTGTTTCCTGACTTAAAGCATTTACATATTCTAGAAGAAATATATGGTCTATCGTTTAAGGACGTCCTTAAAAGATGTCCAAAGTTACAAGCTATAGATATACATATGTATAATCCAATGATCTGTTCTTTTGATTTATTTTGCGGGCTTAATTTGAAAGAAATAAAAATTTCTTTTCTACTTCCAACGTCAGAAACAATAAATAATGATCTAATATTCTTAACTGAAGCCAATCCAAATCTTGAGAAGTTAGATTTGAATGTAAAAGTAAAATACGGTAACGTATTACATTGTGGTGTGCATCTTCAATTGGAGGATCATACAATAAGACAAATTCTAAATCAATCTAGAAACTTGAAAACTCTGGCCCTTCGAAACTGCTCTGTGTCAAGTAAAGGGTTCACGTCATGTGGTATTAACCTTGGATTAACAGAATTAACTATTTCCAACTCTTATTTGTTCGATGACAACGGAATAGAATGTGTAACAAAAAATGCGAAAAATCTCTTAGTTCTAGAAATACTAGAATGCAACAAAATTACAGACAAAAGCATTGCATCTATTGCTGAGAACTGTCCACGTCTTCAGTGTCTTTCAATTTATCATCCACACGTAGGAGTCCAGATTACAAACGAAAGCTTGCTGGCTATTGCTAATGCATGTAGAAACTTAAAAAGATTATATTGGCGTTTTCGATCGAAAAATCGCAATACAATGGACAGCGGTGTAATCGCAATTGCTAATTCCTGTAGATTTCTTGTGAAGATTTCTTTTGACAATAATGTAGATATTGGCGATTTGTCACTATCAAGCATTGCTACTTACTGCCTTTTTCTACGCGAAGTAAGTTTTTCTGGTTGTTACGGCATAACATTTAAAGGAGTAAAATCTTTTATTTCGTCTTGTATATGGCTTGAGAAACTCGATTGCTCTTTTTGTGAAGGTATTATGGACGACGATTACTCAACTGTTACAACAAATACAAGAAAATCAAATGAACCTAGAGAAACAACTGATGAGACCAAAAGTAATCAAGATAAGCCTGAAGAGTTTTATAATCGTGCGGATGGTTGTGTTCAAGATGATGTAGCAATACCATACACTGATCCACAGACAGAACGTGTTTTTATTAGGCATCATTACCATGACCAAGATGACAGGTCTATTGTTCATTCACATCTTAAATATTTAAGCCTGAAAGCATGCAGACTTTTATCGAATGTGACTATTTTGACATTATTTGAACTGTGTCCAGACCTCAGAGAAGTTGACTTGATAGGCACAAATGCAGATATTGACCAACTTTTGTACGATAGAATTAAGCAATTGTGTCCCTTTTTAAATCTAGAAAATTCCCAAGTACCCCCTTGAGGTTGCTTCCCTTTAAATTGGTTCATAAAATGTACCTGGAAGGTGACAATTTCATTATATTATCACCTCCGCTACTACTATACATTACCGCTATTACTGCTATTACTACTACTACTACTACTACTACTACTACTAATACTCTACTACTACCTTCTCTACTACTACTCACCACTATTACTACTACTGTTGCTTTTACTACCCTTGCAATTATTACTACTTTTACATCCACCCACTAATACTAATCGAGCGTCACTGATGAATCTTTTGTAGACGAAACGCGCACCTAGCGTACAAAATTATAAGCCTGGTATTTTTGATGAGTTTTTTACTGCAACTTTAGACAAGATCTAAAAGTCATACATTTTTTTATCATTTTCTGAGCTTATAGATCGATTCTTAATGATAAGATGTAATAGTGGCAGTTTCTATTACACGAAATAAATCATATTACGTTCTTGTCAATTTTATGGATCTAATTACTCAATCATAAACATTGTTGACCACTAGGGCAGATTCGTGCTACTAGTAACTGGATGTTTGATTGAAATGAGCTTCACAATGGGTGTCACAAAAGCAGCAGGAACTTTTACAAATATATGAATGTAAAAACTTATTTCATGTTTTTTAGAAATAGGTTTTGCTAACATATTTCTATCAGATCTTAAAATTTAAAAAGCTACAAGTGTCTTCTTTCTGAAATATTCCAGTTAAAATGAAATTGAACGTTTTACAAAGCTAAGTAAACCCCTTCACCATAATTCGAAACCGAAATCGAAACCGAGACCGAGATCGAAACAAAGGATAGTTGAGTGAGTTGTAAATGTTAACATCAATTCACATGCATCTATTTAAATAGTGAAAATTGTTATTTCAACTTTTACTGAATACAGTAATGAAGTAATATGCAATATAACATGTCGGTATATTCTTCTTCGTGATGCACATTAATCATAAAAAATATTTCATCGAAGAAACAGTGCAGCACATAGTTATACAATTCCTGCAACATCACTTATGATTTTATAAATCGTCTAATGAGATTCCTACATTAACTTTTCTTTTTGAAGTCTTTTCGTTGACAAGTTTACATTGATTGTGATTATCGCATCATGCAAGCGTAACCTTCTTGAAGTATATGGGATGTTCAGATAAATATATGGTGTCAACAAGCAAATGACAATCACGAGGAAATGATAATGTCTCCTCTGGACATATGGCCTTCATCAATCTGTGTAAGTCATCGCGCCATTGTTGTGACTTAGGAAGCCATATTTCAGATATCTTATTTTATATTTAGGTATCTATCATAACCTGGGTATGAATGTAACGTATGTGTGATGGTGTCCAGTATAAAATAAAGCTTGGTATTCTGGATTTTTCGTTTGAAGGGGCAATCAGTAGACATAACTGTTTCTTCACATTCCTTCAAATATTCTTTTATATTTCAGTATTCTTCAGCACTGGGACACAGGGCCATAAACTAATCGATTTAAAACCCGATGAAAAATTAGCCAAATTGTATGGATAGCTTGATGCACATCAAACTTCAAGGATAGTTGTTGAAACGTAAGGTAACGTCTCAACCATAATGAAGGCATCACAAGTTTATTCTTACAGCTTATAAGAACTGCTGCTTCATTCACCAGGATGTAATATATTTCTAATAAATGTAGATCCAGTAAAGCGCTTCCGACGCAACAAATTTATAAAGTGCTATAACTTTCCTTTACTCGGATAAGTAGTTTGGTCAGGTATAAATCGGGTTGGAAAGATCTGACTAGATCATATGAAAGGATATATTTTGGCAAAAAAAAAATATCAGTCTGTGCCTTTCCGTTTTCTTCTCTTCTGCTCAACCTTTGAATAAGCGAAAATATTTTCTGTTAACATCATTACATATATCGATTTATACTCAGGTTAAATTAGATACCTAAATCATCTGGTTTCCTATGTGACGAAAATGACGCGATTACTTACAGATTGATTTACGTCATAGGTCGAGAGAAGGCATGCTCGTTTCTTTATGGTTGTCACTAAAGATTTGATTGTTGACGCCACATATCTATCTGAACACCCCATTTTTACACTATATACCTTCAGACGGTTAAACTATATAACTTTTTTTACTGAGTGTGGATTCGAATGGCGGGGGATAATTGCATACCCTTTCAACGCATCCAAAGTCCCTCATTTTGAAATTCATGCGATTCCCTGAGTGTTTGTGTTTTACCTGGATTTGTATCTTCTTGATGGATTTAAGAGATTTGAACATCAGTTACTACGGTTACATAGGAATTAAGGTACCAGTAAAAAAATAATAATGGAAGACGACAACCAACGACAACCACTGAAATACAGACTCATTGCTTAGGACAACTTCATAAAGAATGTTACAGATTTTATCATGTCTTTGAGAAATCAACCACCCGTTTGCATGGGATTATAGTGCATCAATTCAAAATTAGAACACATTATCAAATTCAATTGAAAGGGCTTGACTCGTAGGATCGTAACTACGCACAAATCAGCTAAAACAATATCAAAAGTCACAAACTCTTTTACTTAATGTAAGAACCCAAGCTGTATATGTATGCTAAGCTATTTTGTTTAATAATGCCACTGGACGTTAAGCAAGCAAACATTGATAATCTGGGCTCTACTGGATAGATAATCAAACATTAAACGAGAGACGAAAGATACCAATGGGACATTCAAACTCATAAGTCGAAAATAAACTGACAACGTCATGGCTAAAAAAAGAAGAAAAAGACCAACAGACAAACAACAGTACACAAAACACAACATAGAAAACTAAAGACTGAACAATACGAACCCCACCAAAAACTGGGGATGATCTCAAGTGCTCCGGAAAGGTAAGCAGATCCTGCTCCATAGGATCATCATAGGAGTTATTATATTTTTTTCTTGAATATTTATATATTTGTCAAGATTGGAAACTGTTGTTGATTGTTGATCTTCTGTCTTTAAATATCAGATTAATATGATCTTTAGATACTAGTAACTACTTTTGTTTTACTTATTGTGTTTTATTGACATTGACACACATTATAATTAATAACCTACTAGAAGGCTTATCGGTATGCCTTACATAAGTTTATCTTGGTCGTATGTCAGGACATTAATATCGATTCCGAGGTATAAAAATGTTGGAACAAAAACATTTTCTTGAAAACAAGGTAGCCGATTTAGAAAATGAGAACGCTCGCCTTGCAGAAAAAATGACATGTGAGAATGAATATATAAAGCCTAAGGCCCTATTCAGCTTTTTACAAACTACAGATCAAAGGTTAGTACAATGGATTATGCACCATTTCTAATCGCTACCATAATCAATCTTGAAGAAATTATTGATCTGATGTTTGAAGAATCATATATTTCGGCTGAGAATTTTACACCTAATATGCGTTTGGTGATTAAAGATCGTAGTGTTTCAATTCTTTCTTTTTTATCATATGTGTAGCTTATTTGTTGTTTAATTTGGGCTTTCATTATGGCTCCTTTTACTTTTAGACAAACTGTTTAAAGCAACAATTATTTTTTATATTTTTAGTAGCAGTCATGTTTAATAGAAATAAGAAGATGTGGTATGAGTGCCGATGAGACAACTCCCCAACCAAGTCACAATGTGTAAAAAGTAAACAATTATAGGTCAAAGTGCGGCCTGTTTTTGTGTCTTTTACACAAAACAGCGATACAGACAAAAAGAAACTAACTATAAAGCACACCCCACAGAATGCAAAAGAAAAAAATCAGTACATGTAAATCGATTGCAGCCAGTTTTTCTCTATTTTTTTGTAGAATTTGGTAACATGTTGAATCAGTATTTAGTTGTACATCATAAGTATCACTACTAATGATTTAAAAAGATTTGGGATGGTCAAGTGCTGAATTTAACAATCCTGCGACTGGGGAAAATATCTAGAACACCAAAATTGATGATTTGAATCCGAGCTTACAAGCCCATATTGAAATTTCTTTATTTTCTGAAAAGAATCATAGGTTTTGTTTATTCATTTAAAACTGATTTGTTTTGATAGATTGGATTTAATATATTTACCTTTTAGTACCATTGGCCTATGTATATTTGATTCCATAGTATGTTTTGTACATTTGATTTGTAAGTAGTATATATTCTATATTTAATTTGCAAGATTTCAAACAAATACCTAGTCACAACGTAAGATATAGGAAATTGGCGAAAAGACGAGAAAGCAGAATTGTTTCCAAAGCATTAGGTATAATATACATTTATCATCTATTTTTTTTTTTATAAAAAAGCTTATAAAAATCAACAACATTCAATTACTTTGAGTATTTCTGAGTATTTAGTTTTGTAAATAGTATTCTGTATAATAAGTAAGCAAGGAACTATGACTAGGAAATAATCAGGTCCTAAAATACAGTGTTGCACTCAGCAAACAGTTTAATCTTCATGACATAATACGGTTATTGTCCTATCAATAATGGACGCCTTGTTCGATGACGTTACATGTTTAGGCCGATTGACCTCGGGTCAACCGTTGTAACTCGTTCATAAAAACAACTCAAGATTGGTCATACAATGATGTTTGCATAATGGATTAAAATTCAGGATGTGGATGCTATGCATGTGAGTCATTTGCAGTCATCGCGAAACTGTTGAGTGTATTTGCAGTTTTGCTTGTAGCTTACATGTACAATTGCAATATAGCAGTGAACGGTAAGCTGCAAGGAAATTGACCATAAAAATCAAAATTATTAAGCGATTTGTTTTTTAACGCTTTTGGGATTGCTAAAAGGAAATAAAACAAAATATCTTATTCTCTTTAATCACAACTTAATATGTCCAATTCAGATTGCTTCAATCTTGTCCAGTTTCCCTGTCGTTTACTAATGTCTAAAGTGGCAGAAACCAGTTATTTTACAATAAATCGGTGGAATTTCATTGATTTCTGATTTAAATTTCCTGAAAAATCATTCATTATGTGCATATAAAATTTATGGTTTCGGGTAACTAAGATAGTTACGTGCTTTTGTGAGTATATAGAAAACCTGTAATTTTGGTGTCTGTCTAGCATGGAGACTTTAAAATTTATAAATGCATTGAAAATAAGGCAAAAAATGTAATACTCTGATACAGAATCTAATCCTCACCTGCAGAATCCTGCTAAAGTCAGGCAGGAATTGTAGGCACTTTCAAGAGATAAATGAATTAGAGCCTTGTCCGAACATATCCCTTCCGTTAAAATCTCAAGATTTTTTTGTTTACATAAAACTGAGTTTTTCCCCCACTTTGATTAGATAAAATCAAGAGAGGAGACCCAAATTGTGACTTCTGATTTGTCCCATATTTGAAGGAAATCAACAACCTGTGTATGCAACTACTTACTAATGTATTACACTAGCCTTGAATTTACATTCATTTTTTCAGCCCATGTGATGCAAATATATATTTCATTACTTAACTATAACAACATTTCTGCGAGTGACACATGTTTTGGTTCACCAAAACTACCTCAATGCTATTTTTTTTTAATGATTTGCAATAATAATGGTATAAAAAGATTATAATCTTCCTGCATATTTAAAATTAAAATGAATATTCAAGTCTTAAAGAAACATACTATTATGTGCAGTAAGGTGTAATATGTAATTAAATTAAGATTTAAGTACAG